AGCAAGTTTCCTTTCGGTCTCACTGAGCACGTGCGCCAAATCTGCTCAAAGAAACCCATGTCCAGCGTCCAGGCCTCCCCTGAAGACGCGGCGGCCCTGACCCCACGGCTCTGTGAGGCCCGCGGCTGCAGCGGGAAGGGCGGTGGCCGCTGGGGACAGAGGAGCCAGGTGGCAGAGCAGACACGGATCCGACACGGACACACTGGGGGTACGTCGGGGACTCGCTGGGACATTCCTGCCAGTCACTGGTGATGTGGTGGCTCCCCCGGGGCACAGCGAGAGTTGGCAGCAGGTTCTTACTGATTTGTCAGAGGCAGCCGGAGCCTGGAAATGGCATCAGTGAAGCACCCGCAGCTGAAAACAAGGGTTAAAGCTTAGGTCTTTCTGTGGCGACATCTTCCTGCATTGCAAAAGTAACGTCTTTGTTAGCCTAAGCCTTCCGCAGGCCAGGAAAGGTCCTGTGTCATCGGCTTGGGTGTCGGCGTTGTGGTTAGGGAAGGGCTAGCCCGTGCTCTATCTCCATTACAGACCGACGCAGTTGTGACCATCCCGGCACCAAGCACAGAGCTCCTTAGAAATGGTTGTTACAGTTTGACAAAGGGAGAAATGCCCCAGGAGAGCTATAGTTAGTCAATATCAGCTCTATCTAACATCTTATAAAAATATCTGAAAGCAAAACTGACAGTGAAGGAAAATGTGGAAGAGCCAGTTTTGAAATGTGCTGGGAGATGGCACTAAAGATATGCCATCGCTTATTATTCAGCATTCATATCTGTAAACACCTGATTTGAGAAACTTTCCCTTTTAAGTAGAATTACTTGAAAAAAAAAGGAAATATGAAAGACAAACCTGGGATGGAACAGTATAATTGAATACTTGCTAAAGATTAAGATCATAGTATGTTTTAGCATGTCCTCACGTACTAAAAGGCTAAGTGTTTATGAAGATATTGATAATATTCTGTTAAACACTACATGTCAATCATCTTTACTGGCGTATGCACAGTGTCCCCATGGGAACTGGCACATACCAGATTTTTCATGTGAGAGTGCTAGTGTACAATTGTATTTATTTTGGGGAAATATTTTTAGTGTGTACTGAAAACATAACATTACATAACATAAACCAACAGATTAGTCTGAAATTTCACTTTGGAATCAAAGCAAGACACTGTTTGTGACTCTAAATGTGACATAATAATTATGGCCTATACAATGGAGTAAAACTGAAGAGCATTCTTAGAACTGAGTTCATTTTGTAAATTGTTCAAACCCAGAGCAGAATTGTGCACGCACAGGTGAGTGTGTTCCTGCGCCTACGTTCTCCAGGACGGAGGAGTGACAGGGGACCTCGCCTGGTGTGGAGGCTCTGTGTTTGCGGACACACAATGTGTACCTCACGAGGGCAGCTCACACAGCACATTGTGGCTCCGCTCAGCTGCTTAGGTCCTGCATGCCTTGTTTTAATGATCATTTTGATTCATGAAGCACTACAAGTTGAGATAAATAGGAGGCTTCACAAAGACTCCAGTCGTGAGGAATCGGGGTCACAGCACTGTAACAGAATTTCCTTGTATTACTCTTTCTTTTGGCAACAATAAAACAATCAGACCCTTAATGGCTCTCAATTATGAGCTTTCCACAGATAGCTGAAGAATGTCCTCTCTTACCTGTGTATGTGTACATTTCATAATGACTGGCACTTCCTGAAAGCTGTGTGTAAGGTGCTATGAGAAGACATGCATTTACATACTCAGTCCTAACAATCATCCCATCTTACAGGCGTGGGTCTTGGAGTTTAGAGGTGTGGGTGTGACTCACAGATTGCGGTCAGTGAATGTGTCATAAGAGATTGTTTTACCTGAACATCTGTTTGTGCGCTGTTGTAATATTTTCCCATGACCACAGGGAGAAATCGTGCCAAACACTGCTGTTGTTTCAGCGCTTGACGGGCTTGGGGCCACTGTTTTGCTTGTCCTTGCCCACTCCTAAGATTCCAGGGGTAAAAACAGCAGTTAAAATTACTCTTAGGGGCCCGGATATTCTGGGCCAAAGCTGGGGAAAGCTCTTCCCAAGTGCCTGGCGAAGCACCATGTCAGGCTGCTGAGGCTTGTGGTGCTAAAGCACATAGGAGTGTGCTGAGGGCCCAGTCCCTAAGTCCTATGTCAGCAGCAGCGGTGTGCTGGGGGCAGAGGACGAGGCTTCTGTATAAATGAGCTCTGCTCTTCCATTTGAATTCTCATTTTAAAACACATTCCAAAAGTTTGATGATTCAAAACGCTTTGGGACTTGGGAAAGGTGGCAGAAAGCAGACTTACCTGCCTCTAGGTTTGAACCTGCCCAGCTGCCAAGACACGCCCTGACGGCAGTGCAGCGATGTCTGTGAGGACCTGTCAGAGCGACTTCTGGTTCATGAAGGGCCTTGTGAAATATACTAAGGAGTAAGGACTTTATCATCATGGCATCAGAAAGCCACTGAAAAAAAGTTGGCCAGGAAGGTCAGTGTCTTGTTTAGAGAGGGTATTTTGACCATGAAGTGGAAAAATGAAGGGAGGGAAACCAAGCAGCACTCTGAGATACCGTCTGGGTGAGATGACCGTTGCTGCGGACTGAGTTAGGGAAACTGGGAGTGCAGAGGGTGGAGAGAGGAAAGACATTTTTAGGAAGTAAACTGCACAGGACCTGGTGATTGGTTATGTGTGGGCAGTGTAGGAGAGGACTATCATTTGCTGAGACTGGAAATATGTACAGGAAGAAGATAGAAATGTGCTGAGCCCCTTCCTTGGACACACTGAATTGAAGGTACTAGAGATATGCAAGTCCAAATGTAGCCCAAGCATGTGAAGGGTGGCCCTCATATTTTGTATGAGGCTCTGTTCTGGCAGTGCAGACGGCAGAGCAGTTCGGATGAAAGGTAACTGAAGCCATGAGAGTGCTGACACCGTCCTGGGTGATGTACAGAGCGATGAGAAAACAGGCTGTTGGAAGGAACCCCAACAGTTACGCACTGGGCAGAGAAACAGGAGTTACCAAGTAGCCCAAGTCCAGCAATAACCCTGAAGCCACATTTGTGCCTTAGCCAATATTCTGCTTGGCCAACTTGGTTACTAGAAGTATTAACAGGTACCGAGGTGTGACTTTCCCTCTCCTTTCACCTTGTAAAGCCATGAATTGGCAAAGCAAATGTTTTAAATATCTGAAGTCATCCAACATTTGTAAAATAACTTAAAGTATAACCCATAAGCCAAACAAACAGCCCTGGATCGCCTTGAGGACGCTGAGCTTCCCCTTCCAGCGGCCGAACGCACACTGGACTTTGCCCTCCGTCAGGCCGTGACTGTATCTCCTCCTCATCTAGATAGTCGAACCGTCTGGCAGCTCCGTGACAGCCCAGAGAATTTTCTCGGATCAAAACATGTGATTAAGTAGAGACGCTGGTCAGAAAACAACCATGTGCATGATTTCTACATGGAAAAGGCGCACGTACAGGTTTGGGAGTTGTGGGGACTTGCCTCGGTGTCTTCCTTTCACGTCTGTAGAAGCAGAAATGGGGCTGTGGTCTCCAGGGCTAATTGGTGGCGTGTTGATACATAGTCAACAACTGGCTTGGCAGGGGAGAGAAGTCCTTGTTTGTTGTCTGCCAATTTGTGTGGCGTAGACACTCCCCCTGGACAATTTCAAGCTGCCGACTCAATGTCACCGAAGGCTCGGGAGGGACAACCCGCGCACGCACACGGAGGACTGAGAATGCAGGCTGGTAGCCAGGAACGGGAAACCCCGTGTATGTGACAGCTTAAGATAGGAGAGGACTGCATTCTACAAAATGCTGGTTTCGCTTTAAGGAAAATTTATTTATTCATCTAGTCACTTTACTCATTATTTAGGCCTGGAGGTATGAATGATGTATGCATTAAGTCTAATAATGGTGTTGTAACTTTTATGTCTTCATTCATAAGCAATACCAGTTTATATAACTGGCTTGTATCTGAGGTTGAAATGATTGAGAATCATTTTCAATTTAATTCCTTTTAATATAAACCAAAGACATTACCAGTTTCTTTTCATTTCAGGGTATCAGTATAACCTGCATTCTAATATATTTCATGAAAGAAAATATTTTCATCAAATAAGCAGTTATTTTTCCTATCAAAGCACACAATTTGATGGTATACTGCTCTAACTAATAATATATAAACAGAAATTATTTCATTTCTTTATGAAACTTAATATATACCCTTAATTATACCATATATATACAGAGAGAGAGAGAGAGAGAGTGAGAGAGAGAGAGAGAGAGAGCGAGAGAGAATAAAACTTAAAAAAAATTTTTTTAAAAGATTTTATTGGGGAATTGGCAGAGGGAAAGTGTTGGGGAATCAGGAAAGGGGAACAGACAAGTTGCTGTCCTTTTGTCCTTCAGTCTAGTTGTGGAGGACGTCGCTTCACTGGCCCATGTTGGTATTATCATTGCACTCTTCCCGGGTGAGGCAGTCGCTTGCCGGCCATTGGATGGCCGCTCACACCTGCTGCTGGCTAGACCTACTGCAGCCTACATTGTCACCAGCGGCTTATGACAGCCCAACTCCAGGTTGAGCCATTGTTCACCATCTTAGCTGTAGAGGGTGCAGCATCACTGGCCCCCATGTGGGATCCGAACCATGGTCCTGCTGCTCAGAGCTGGCGTCTCAAGCCAACTCAACCAACGCGCCACTCAGCCGACTCTAAAATATTTTTAACATTAGGCACTGGTGGAAACAGAGCTGTTATTATGATATATATATATATATATAACATTCTAAAGGAAAATTAAAATTCCCCATAGCATTAGAAAGGAATGTACTTTTAAATACTTAATATAGATATACAAAATCTCAGGACTTGTATTAGAAACCTCACAATTCTATGGTGCACAAATGAAGACAGCTTTTCAAATAACTTGCACTTATGCCGAGTTCATAAAGGTTACTATAAAAATATTGCAAACCCAATAAAACACAATGATATACTACAAAGTCTTTTTTTTTAATAAAACTTTAAAATGTCTGCATTTAAACAAATGCACAATACTTTTTAGTGTCCTCTGGCATTTTGTTCAGGTTTAACTGAATTTAGAAATAAGTTGACCATTTTTTAAACATTAGTTCTCTCCTGCAGAACGGAAGACATTGATAACTTATACAATACATTTTTAAAACAGGATCGGGTAAAAACTTGACAAATTGGAATAGTAAACACTTTTTTACATGCTTTAGTTATTGCCCTGCCAAAGATAAAAATGCCCCATTTGCCTCTGATTTAACCCAAATTTTTAGATAATTATCTTAACTACCCCCCCCCTTTGTTTATAGCGAAAGTTGCTGAGAGGAAAGTGTCAAGATTTCAGGTTCACCATCAAAATTCAAAATGTCAGTAGGTCACATTCCATTTTCAAAGTATACTTAAAGGAATGCTTATTTCCATGTAAAATCCCGAAGTGCTGCATCAAGATGCATTAATAAAATGGCCAATTACAGACTTGGCTTTAGCCTTACAGGAATGTTATTACAATAGGCTGTTAAGTTCCACACTTAAGCATTTGTTTTTCTACTACAATACTGTACTTTCCAATACAGATATCAAAGAAAGCAAGCTCACTTTTTTCTTTAAAAGAATAGCAAAATTTCAGCTATAATACAAATCAATGTTTTGGGGGAAAAAATTATGCCAAGATAAGAAATAGATTTTTTAAATCTTAGAATAATTGCTATAAAAGAGCTATAAAAGATACATTTTTGGAAAAAATACAGTGAAAATGTCTCTGTAGGAAAAAGTATGCAACTTGTTAGATACCAAAAAATACAACATTGCCATGGGGTTCAGCCAACTATGGACCTGGCTTATGAGACTCTAAAAATTCACAAAAAGTAATTAGCACCAAAATTGCCTAAAACTCAAATGATACACTGAAGTGATTCCGGGCCCAAGTGTTACATCATTGAAAAGTTACATTTCACTTGGGAAGTTTACCCAGCAATATAACTGTATTCCTTTAGATCTTTAGAAGATGTGCTAGCTGTACTGATTTTCATCCAAATATTTACGTAGTGTATAGTAATTATCATTTTATTGGTTAGGGCTGAGCAGGGGTGATAGAAATCCAAATTATTTCCCAAATAATTTGGAGAGGGTGGGGAACAATTCTCCAATTAAAATTTATTTTTAGCTCCCTGTTTCATCCGTTTTCGTCTAAAATGTTTTATTGGAGCTCTTTACAAGACTTACATTGTCCGATTTGAATTCCATATCCTGTTATTTTGTCTGCTCACTTTTTGGTGGTGTTACTTAAGATTTGGCATGGGAATAGGGATGTTTAAAAACAGATCACAGTAGTAAAACAAGAGTTTTGAATAAGCTACAAAGTGTATATTCAACTGTATTATAATCAAGAGTTGAGTTTAATTTTAAACATCCACTTATAAATTTAACTACAAAATAGCACACAATTTGAAACAAGGCAAACTTTTCAGCTTTTGTGTAGTGAAATATGTAACTTCACTGATTATTACATATATGGCTACCAAATGTCAAACAACAGCTCATTTGGCCACATTTTACTGCTGCACATAAATAATGACGAGGCAAAGAACAGCTACTAGTCCAAGGGCTTGCAGGCCAAGGAACCACAGCATAACCCAAAAGAAAATGACCATCACTGGTTCCACAATGCGTTCCCCAAAATACATCCTTGTAAAGCCCATGTCGAGGAGGCTTCTATTCAGTTCACCAAAAAGTGTTCCCATTTTTTTGTAGTCGTCTCCCAAAGGCTCGCCAGTGTGGTTTTGTGATTCTTCAACATCCTTAAAACAAACAAACATGAAATGAGAAATAGGTGAAGGTCTGTAAGAATAACGAGTATCTCAGAGTTCTATCTTTCAAAGACAATTCTGTATATTAATTTTCCTTTGTTAAAATAACTGGTTTGATTTCTCTCTCTTCACTAGGCCCTGAGATTGTTACAAAAGAAAAACTATGTCATGTAGGTTACATAGTTGCAATTATAATTTATTAAACCTAATTTATCTTAGGAGTCATGATTCAAATCAGTAATTATTTCTTTTTCTTTTTTTAAAGATTTTATTGGGGAATTGGGGGAGGGGAACAGACAAGTTGCTGTCCTTTTGTTCTTCAGTCTAGTTGTGGAGGACG